ATCCCCAACGCTACGTGCCTTGCGTGACTAATAGCTASCGTAAATGGCAACAACAACAAGTGCGTATGAAATTTAGATAAATTACCGCGTTTTGGTAAACASTTTGGTTGCATTGGATGCGGCTTCGCTACGCCAGGATACACACACGCCGCGCAGCTTAAACACTAACCGCGCATTTGACGAACCGTTTGTTTATTTCTACCGTAGTAGCAGTAGCGCAAGCTTTTGGTTCTTATTCACGCGTTACAGTTAGTTAAAGTATGCGCTGCATTGATGAAACCTCTTGGCGATGGAATGGCTTTAGGCAACTCAACTACGAATGTAGATAGTGCAACAAACAATGCAATGAGTTGAGCAAGAACACGTTTTATACCCAAAATTTCTACCAYACTTTAACACTTGCCTGATGATCCTCAAACAACAKTTTCATTAGTTGAAGAGGTCGTCCAGAACCAGACATATCTTCAGCGAACTCTCGACCGTATTTGACGGCTTTTTACCTAGACCACACAAGACTGAAAATATATTCACACTAMAACATTTATGAAATATTTCTTCTCCGATTCTTTCATATCCAGTTTAATAAATTGCAGTTATTAAAAAAAGTTAATCACAAAAAACTTAGACAGTCAGTCAGACCGAAACAGATCCGGATTTTTATCTGACCAAAGACACTTGCCAATATTTTTTACAGTTATTTATGAAGCTCGGCGATTCCTCAAGATGGATTTCCTCGCTTCGTCATCTCATTGCAGTTGTTGAAGTGGAAAAGTGTGCGAGTTTCGGTCCTCTCAGTCTGACTATTTAAAAATTTCATATTACAAGAAAATTTAATATAAATTTCCAAACGAGCTTAGATCAAAAACTCTCCAAGCACTTCTCGCATTGTTTATTGAACTATTTACAAAATAAATAATATAACCTATCATATACTAACACAATAAATCTTAAGGGTAATGATATCAGCAACGATTATTTTACAAATACAATTTCCCCACTACGCGCCTCGTTATGGCAAAGGTCGTAAGTCTTCTAACATACCAGTACAAATACGATATCACATTTCATCAATCACACGTATCGTTTACTTATGCGAAATATACCTAACTAATACTAAAACATAAGTATTTATGTAGTAGCTATACATTTACATTTACAATTACATATGCATATATAAATTATTTTTGGAAACTCAAATCGAAATTAAAACATTCATTGATTTCTTATATGTATTATATAAACATTTGAAGCAAAACCAAACAACAACAACAAATTGTAAACCATCTTACAGATGTGGGCATGATTATGATGCAGACCGGAATGGTGAATCAAGGCATTACCTCAGTCCTTAACCAAATGGAGGGTATGCAAATTAGCCAAACAAAACAAAAATCCTAAACAAATTAATAGTAATAATAAAATAACCATAGYTTTAGTAATAATCCAAACTAAATTATTGCTTAATCCAAAAATAATCACACAACAACAAAAAAAAATCCAATTCATTGCATTACCTTGCCAAATGCATAGTTATAACAGTAAATAAATATGTATAATAAAAATTGAAAATTATTAACTTAAAGCAATTGCGTAAAGTATCTAACAAAAGCGTAAACTATAAGTTAACTTAACSAGCAGTTGGCAAACCGTCATTTTACATAAGCAATGTTGCGCTATTTCTTGTAATTTTCGCAATTTCTTTTAAATGTGCCTCAACATTCTTACATACATGCGTACATAAGTGTTTTAACGCCAAAAATGCCAGCTAATTTACATACATACCACACTTATATACTTTCTATCTATGTGTACATATGCAACTATGTTTTTCCTGGCTGCTACATGGAGTTAATGATTATTTACGCTCTCTTCTAACAACTTTATTTGCAAGAAAGTTAAAAAAGTATATTTATATGATATAATACAATACTAAATGCGTACTGAATATTTTGCTAGCAACTTTTTAGAGCAGAAGTTGCCTCTAAAAATAATACAAGCCAATTTGCAAACATAAACCGCTTTTAAGGTAGTACAGTTAGTCACGCTCCATACAAATATAAATAAGTAGGCGAAATACCTAACCTTTTGAGGAACTGCAGATGAAGCGCTAAATAGAACGAACTTACATTAGGRCAATATATGCTTTATACAACATATGTTTCTCATATACACATAATTAGAATCCAAGCTTGGCTTTGAGCAACCTAATATTACTCTGGAGATTGGTTTCGAAAACTTCAAATAGTAGTTTTAAAATTTCTTCCCAATATAAGACAATCCTGAACCATTGTTAAATATTTTCCAAAAGTTTTATACCAATATTTTAAAACCCCAAATTGGCTGCTCTGTAAATGCTCTAAGACGAAAAAAAATATAATATTGAGTTTAAAATTAATGTATTATACATATATTTACTCTTTAAAAAGCTTCACCATGCTTTAGAAGAAGCTTAAAATCAAAGCATTTAAATACGTATTGCATTCCACGAAAAATTTTCAGACCCATATGAACCCTTTATGCCGAAGCTTTAAACACGTCACTCGTAGTCCTGCAACGACTTATAGTAACATGGATGCTTTATAGAAGATGTAGATAGTATACTAAAAAACTTAAGAATAAGAAGCTAATATATTATACAAGTACAAAATAAATTTCGAACACACTTTACATAATTATAATATATCGAGGTTAAATAATTACTTTTTTGCTTGTCAAATTAAAGTACTGTATGCTAATTTAAGAAGAAGTGTCAATGAACTCGTCTAATGCGAAGAACAGATTTATCATTTTCCTCTACTTCTGCCATCGCTCAACAAGCTACAAGGAGTTTACATGAACTAAATTATCTTATGGTAGTTTAATAATAGCTTAAATTKTATGTATAAGTGAGCTCTGAGATGTTTAAGGTAAAGCTGTGAGATTCAATGTGTTTCAGCGTTGAGCACACAAAAGCGCTATAGCCAGCAAAAAGATATCATCCCATCAAATTAGACACGAACTGACAAAAACATTGTTCAGGTATTTTAATAAAAATCATTATTATCACCTCTGTTTAAGCCGGTAAAATCATGACAATGCTGAACCTAGTTGTCCATAAACTTTTAAAAAGCCTCGAGCGCTATATTGGCAGACATCTTTACTTCATATTCATAACACCAAAATCGCGTACCAGTTGTCTTAAGCAACTTTTTGTCGACGTCTACTCGAATAGTTTTAGCAAAAGTTTCAGATATCTTTGTACGAGATCAATATTGGTAATCTTCATATCCSAAACATCAAACTCCATATTTGCATATATTAGCTGCAATACAAATTTCAATACCTGTTCTATATAATAAATATACCATTCATACAGATACACATGTCATCTTCATACTGTATAAGAACAGTGGTAATAATCTCTTTGCACTTTTACCATCTGTAACATATGTATATGCATATCGAAATCATATTCTTACAATGATTTTTACGACTTTAATTTTCAACTTCCGATAACACTTTATCGTAATGAAAAGAATATGTTATGACTCTATGAGATTTGTAGCTCAGCATTCAACATATTGTAAAATAATTTATCAAAAAATTTTGAGTGGTCTACAATTGAAGTAGCACTGATATGTACTTGAAATCGATATCATGGACTATCAACTTGAAAGCAAAAAAAAAAAAAAAAATTGGTTTAAGTGTTATTTTATTTAATAAATAAATAAACAAAATTCTTCATCCCTGTAGCTTGAAGTAATCTCAAATCCAAAGGCCAAATAATTTTATTGTTAATGTAGATGAATACAGTTAAAGATCGATAAAAGAGTAAAACTTTTCAACAAGTGAAAAATGTCAAAAAAACAGCATTTCAACAAAACGCATTTCAAGTTTATAAAATCATGGTTTGTTGGTCGGTTGAAAAGGAAAGAACAGGAGCGCCAGACCGCAGACGCCACATTGTGCTCCCAGGAGGTAACCAATTTTAACCAGCAACTCAGTTGATTAGCAAAGACAACTGACTCTGAAACTATTTGCCGTATACACTTTCGAATAATATTCTCAAATATACGAATATTTTCAAATTCTCATGGGGATATAACTCCTTAAAGACACAATTAATTAATATGTCAGGTTTTCCGTTTCGGCCATTTTGAATATGTGTAGTTTGAAACTCTTGCAACCTGTTGCTACAGAGCATAATAATTTTGTTCACCTAACGGTTCTACTTAAAATTAATAGAAAAGATATAGGTTTATATGTTATGTTCGCCTGTGCCAGCTGTAACTTGAGGGGATATTCTACTCTAGAAATCATTTTGGTCAGGTTTTTGAATTTTATGTAAAAATAAACCAAAAATATTTTTATTATCCATTTTTTTTGTGTTTTTATTGATTTCTTAAGAATACAAAAAAAAAAAATTTACAAAAAGATATTAAAAATAAAAATAATTAGAGGGGGGAGGGGGGAGAGACAGGTGTAAAAAAAATGGCGCATCCTGGTGGCATTGATCCTGACTCTCCTGGTGGTCTGAAAAAAAAGTCAAAAGAAATTCTTAATCAGTAAGGATGCTGTTATAGCCCCTATTTCAGGGAACACGAAAAAATTTGTTTTCGAAAAATGGCGGCTGCCTGAAAATAAAAATCATTTTTTACGCTTTTTTTTTTTGAAATTCCTGAATTTTTTAAAATATTAAAAATAAAGGATTAAGGATTATATAAAGATAAAGGTTAAGGGATTATATAAAGAAGATTCATACAAAATTTCAAGTAAAGCGGTTGTATGGAACTTGAGATAATGCCGGTACCATGTGGAAAAAGTAGTTTCGAGAAAAGCGCGTTTAAAGTAACTGTAGCTCTTAAAATAATTTTAATTTTTAAAAATCCTTGGAAGATATGTTCTTAAGGGTCTAAACTTTAAATATATAAAAAAAAATCGAAATTTTTCAAATTTCTGGAGTAGAATACCCCCTTGAGTAAAAATTTACATATCTTGATGACACTTCATCTGCCCGTTCTTTGGCAAAGAAGAAAGTAATGCGGATTTTATAAATGGGCGTTATGGGATTATTGACACGCCGATAAAACGCCACTAACCGAAAATTAATAAAATGCCCAAATTAAGCACTAAATTAAATAATAAAATCTAACTTAGCACCAGTAGGCAAAATATTTTGGAAAAGTGGGAATGGTCCTGCCTCCAAGAAATTTAATGTATATCTCTTAAACCACTTAGGCTACAACAAGCAAATTCGTCTGATGCAAATATTATTAGAACTTCTACCGACAGTTTCAAAATTAATAAAATCAAAAAATAACTCTGCTCTATCCCCATATACTGGTACTGTTAAAAAATACTTTAAGAGAATAAACCAATAACTATATTCACCAGTAACATTAAAACATTAAGGTGTTAACGGAGCCGGGGAGGAAATTGTATGATGGGCTTGGTCCTGCCAACTTTTAAGTGAAATCACATATCTTGAGTCTCGTCCAACCGATTTCAACCAAATTTGGTATGTGGCATTCCTCTAACATTTTTAAGTTACAGTGAGAAAATGGGCAAAATATGGCTGCAACCACGCCTACTTCCCATGTAACACATTTTTAAATTCCATTTGATTATATCACTTTCCAATACACAAATCAAGAAACAATTAGTATAACGGGTTACAACATTGCCCGAATAATGTCATTAGAGTAAGGAAGTTTATACCCAAAAATTCGCCAAATCCAACAAGAAAACGGTTCAAGTAATGAATATTTGGAATCCACTACTTATACGAGTAGTTGACCTTTTACCAAAAATATTGGTCAGAATTCATTCCGCCCAGTAGTATATCTGTGTACTACAAATGGATTGAATGGGGTCAACACTCTCTTTGCCTACATATAGCTAATATAAAGATTTAAATCAACTTAATTGTATCAATTTTATTTCACACGATATAATACATCTGAGTTTCTTTAACAATTAGTGTGTGTTGTTTTTTTGAAGGAAATTACGAGTATATCACTTTTATTGGAAAACCCTGCGTAACAATTTAGTTTTATTTGAAAAAAATATGAAACTCCATCAAAAGCAGCTTGGTATACTATGGATAGTATAACTAGTACCATTTCTATATATATTATATACTTACATACAAATATAAAATTATAAAATTACTTTTTACTAAATATACAAACACTAACGACAGATTCTGTAATTAAGGCTATGAATAAAATATCACCAATGTCGTACAAAAACATGATTTTCCACTTTATATAGTAACGTAAATCATTCCTTTTGGTCTCTTAATTTATTTCATTAATTTCGACATGATTTCCTTATGTGTACTTTTGTGCTAAATTTTGGTTTTTGGTAATTTTGTGTTCTTAT